AAAAGGGAAACTGACTGGATTTTGCGCCAGAAGTCTCTTTGTTACACTACTTACCATTTTATGAAATATTTTGAAAATTGTTAATTTTTTTTGTTTTCGTCATCGAGAAGGCCATCAAAAATGCTACTAGTTTGCTCAATTAACCGAATTTGTAGCATCAATGATAACGGAGTTGGCAATGGTGTAGATTTAATTTGGAAAACCTTATATACCCTAATTACCAATAACAAGAAAGAAAGTTTTATTCGTATCTTTGGCTAGCCGCACACTGAAAATTTTATTCAAACAACATTTCAATTGCAAATATGAAATATATTACTACTTATGAGAACCCGTATACTCCGTTGCGGCGGGTTGGCTGTCCTTGTTCATCTTTCACTGCCTGAACTACTGTGCATGCTGTTTTTGGCGAGTGTATTGGCTTTGGATGTGGGGGTTGAGCAAACCGGCCATCGGATGTCTGCTTCCACGTAGCCCCGGTGGATTCGGGAATGACAGAATCACTTGTGGTTCTGTTATTCCCTAACTGAATGGCATTACATAGAATTGTGAGGTGTAGCTGAGAACCAGGAATGCTACATTCTGTTCAGTTTTTGAGTTTCTTTTCTGAAATACTTGAAGTAACAAGGAAATAAGTTTTTAATGCTGTTGACATCACATGAACGAATATTTTTTATATAAAACAAGTTACAATTTGAAGACATTTTTTCCGAACCCAATTTAGAAACAAATTCGGACATGAAATATATTAAATTTCACGTTTATGCAACAGGTAAAATTAAATATTACTTTCGGAATTCGAGTATATATCCTCTACCCTTCATTAAAACTTAGAAAATTCAAACAACGCTATGCTTGTTTTCACGTAACTCGAAGAAAATAATTTACCTAAATTACATTTGGATATTTTCTTGGTTTTAATGATATTGAATGATTACATTTTTTAAGATTTCTTTGATTTGGCATGTTTATAAACACGTATTTTACCTATTTGTTAATCCCTGTTCAGCTAGCCTTACCACTTTAGAATTTGTTTTGAAACTTTAAATTCAATTTATGATAAGTCTCTTTTCGTACCCAATTCCCGAATTTTTCGACTTTTTTCCAGATGTATCGTTGAGGTAGCAAAATCCAACTAAGCAAAAAAGGCCGAGAACCGGTTCTGGACCCTATTGATAATGTTGCTATTTGGAAGCGGATCTCGTAAACGGTAAAAGACAGAAAGCCGGTTGAATTGCGGTGAACTTTCTAGGTTTTAGGTGCTACAGAATGATACCAAGAAACCTGGTAAATCTGTTCAAATATTTTTGGTTAGTAAAGAATATGATCATATAATCTTTATACAGGCTGAGGTAAGACTTGGACATCCACAACATCGAAAATTTGAATACGGACCTGATGTATCAAGTAATTTTTTATCGGTAATCAGGACTGACGCCTGTCGGATATAATCCAACGCCCTTCGTGGTATTAGCCAGGGGAGAAGTTGTTTTCTGATAAGCGTCAGTCCATTCTACCTACTGTGTAGGTAAATTTAAGTTCATTTCTTTAGATTTGTTTACTGCCAGTCTTCAAGCATAGCCCACTGACTAATAAGAAAGTTTTTCTTCCTTATTCAGAGGAATCGGGCAAATTTCGGATATGCAGTTGCCTAGCACCTCGTCCACTAGATGGAATGACATTTTGTTGTTCTCTCCAACTTAGGAAGAGGAATGAAATACTCTGAAAGAATTCCGATTTTCAATTATGGAATATCATTGACTTTAGGTTGATGATGGCCACTATCTTGCACTGATGAGTGGCTAATGAGCCCGAAACC